GTCCTGCACGTTCATCCACGTTGTCACAAATGGCAGAATTTCCTTGTTTTTTTAGGCTAAATTATCTGCTGTATATACCAAAGTTTATGCATTCAGTGGTCCATGGACACTTAGGTTGCTTCCATATCTTGGCTATTGTGAATAATGCTGCAGTGAACGTGGGGTGTAGACATCTCTTGGAGACCTTGATTTAATTTCCTTTGGATATTCACCCAGAAGTAGGATTGCTGATCATATGGTAGTTCTATTTTTAGTCTTTTGAGGAACTTCCCTGCTGTTTTCATAGTGGCTGCACCAATTTGTATTCCCACCAACAGGCCACAGTACTGTACCACAGTGTACATCAGTCTTACCTAAGATAAAACTGAATGGATTAAATAAACCCCAAATGTAACGATAAATTAAGCAGACTGATTGTTTAGAAATTGTTTCTTTACAGGAAGTGTCTTAAAACTTTGGGAAGACACCCTGGACGGGGGAGGAATTTGCATGCTGTGATACACTTAAGAGCCAGGTCCCGCCTGGCTGCGTGTGATGTGCAGGATGTGGCTGACACTGGAGAGCTCTTGCATTTGCCTCCTGCGCCCCCCCCCAGGAGGGCACGACCACGGAAGCCCAGATTCTTAAGGGAAGGCAGGACTGGAGGGACCACCTCTAGAGATGGCTTCTGACAGTTTTCAAGAGAAGCTGGAAATCTGGAGTTTTTGTTTTTTTTATGTGAACCCTGTAAATGTTGAAAAGTTGGCAACTAATAAAAATTTTGAAACACTGAGTATCAAAGAAATTGTACCTGTGGGTCACCAGTGTGTGACCTCTGATATGTTTCTAGTGGTATTTTTATCAAGGGAATACGTTTGTGATTTTTCAGAAGACACAGAAAGCCAGATCTGAATCTGATGTAATGACTGCACGCTATCATTTTTGTCTTATTTTTGTGTTTTTATGCCGAAGAATGTTATTAAAAAATATTTCCTCATAGCTTACTTACCTCAGAATTAACTGGGGCTCCATTCATACTAGTAAGGAACCCAGGCTTTAGGATCAGGGGCTGC